GTAATCCCAAGGGATTTCATAAACGGGTCAGTTCGGGTTCGACCCGAACCCGACCCGTGACCCGAAATTGACACCCCTACCCGGATGCACCAGGGTCCGGGTGATGTGGCGCGTCCGGATTCGACTTAGGATGTTGGACGTAATAATTCGTCATAATTTTCTCAAGAGGCGAATTATTACGTCTGAAGTCCAAACCGGAGTCGAATCCAGACGCACCAAGTCACCCGGATGCACCAGGGTCCGAGTGACATGGCGCGTCCGGATTGAGGAAGGTGATAAATCCAGCAGTGATAGTGCGGCAGCACAGGGTGGAGGTTTTGGGCAATGTCCAGTCGGTATGGGGAACACCGTCAGCAGGGACACTTAAGGGACGATGAGGTCAGAGTTGATTAGGAAAGTTCAGGCTATGAGGTCAGGATTGGTCGGGTGGGGGACGGGGACAGCGACGGTGGGACGATAAGGCCACAGTTCTGCGAAGTTGGATCCTTCGACGACGAGGTCGGGTACTCAGTCAGGTATGACGACGTTGTGGAGGTTTGAGCTGACGACGACGAGATCCTGCGCCGTGCGGGGACGGTGAGATACAGTATGTTTGAATAATAAATAGTTAAATAATCAAATTTGAATAACAATATGTTTGATTCATTTATATTTATGAATAATTAAGCTTTTGAATAAGCTCAATATAAAGGTCGTTAAAAAGCTCTTTTTTTTTTTGTGACGAGGAAGTACTGTCCTTAGGTCAGTGAAAACCACAGTCGACCTAGCATGCAACCCACATCAATTTACACGGACCAACACTTAAGGCTTTCACTGCTTGTCAAAAGATTCGAACCAGGGACCTAGGCTTTGCCCAGCCTGCTCTTCACCACCCGGACAAGCAATGGTGGGTATGATAAGTGAAGCTGATTTGTGAGCGGCTCAAGCTCGGCTCACAAAAAAAAAAAAAAAAAAGCTCAATTAGTATTTAATACAGAGTTTATGAATCATTGAGAATCAATTAAGTCTTATTATAAATTTATTTTTTGGCTTATTTTCACATAATTTTTTATTTTTATTTCCACAGTAATCTCACTTTTTTATGTTATACTCTTTCAATATAATGAATTTTTCTATGAACAATAGGTATTAATTCATGTTTATAGGATTGTTTGTTTTAAGTGTTCATAAATAAGTTTGTTTAAAAGAATAATTATTTTATAGTTTCGTTTGTTCGTGAACGGGCTCATTTGACAACTCGAAAATACTCGCTAGATACTTTCCCAACTTGACTCATTAGATATATTCGTCAATATGCTCTAGATACTTGTTTGGTAATAAACCCGATAAATCTCATTTGTTAAGGTAAGACCATGTAGATGATAAACTTGTAAATAGCTTGATAAAGCTCTCCCTTATTTAAATATCAATAAACACAAAAAAAAAAAAAAAAAAAAAAAAAAAAAAAAAAAAAAACGAAACATGAAACTAGCATGAACATCTATCAATTTTACAAAGAAACTAGCATGAACAGACCAGCTTGAATCAATCTTAAACAAGCTAATAATAAATGAGGTTAAACATTTACAAATACTTGCTCGATTTGCCTCGATTCATTTGCAGCCCTTATTCATAAACCTTTCATTTGGCATTAGACCACTAAGATGAATTACAAATTCATCAAAATTGGGCATTTTAGGAGATTACAAATCCCCGTACTCTACACATCTAATAGACCAAAACAAACATCCCCTTAGGCTTCGTTTAGGACAGCTTCTTTTTTGCTTCTTAAAGCAGTTTTCTAGTTCAATAATTAAAATTTTTGTACTAAAAATTGCTTTTAAAAAGCAATAAGAAAGCTGTCTCAAATGAAGCCTTAATCTTATTTTCGAAATATGTTTTCCAAAATCCAGTAATTTCAAATGGGCCTAAACTAAATTCTGCCTGTTTATCTTCGTTGGTTGCTACCACTTAGCTATAGATACATTTATATAGCATAACTGTAGAGTAATTAGACCTAAATGGTTTTATAATAAGGGTGAAAGTGAAGTTGACTTGTGCGCGGCTCAAGCTCGGCTTTATAAACAATTAATGAGCCGAGCTTGAAGAACTGACAAACCAAAGCTTAAGCCAGCCTCGACTCAGCTTGTTAGCTTGTGATTCTGTTTGTATAAAAAATATTCATGTAAAGTACATAAAAAATGTATTAATATTTAAGAGCTTATACACAAAACTACAACAATTATTTAAAAAATATAGTACACTTTCTTGTATTAAGTGAGTTTGATTAATTAATTGAATTCTTTTTATCATTTTATTATAATAATTATCTGAATTACAAACATTTCTCTTTTATAATGAGTCGGCAAGTGAGCTGACTCGAACTAATAAAATTAAGTTCAAGCTCAATTAATTAATCAAGCTCAAGCATTTGGTGGCTCGAACTCTGCTTGACTTATGTACACTCCTATTTCATAGTATTCATCTTTTAGCAGGAAGGTAGGCTACACGTCGGGTGTGATTGTTTATGCTTGGGTTTTACAAAATAATCTAAAAGTATTTACATAATGAAATATGAATAGCATGATATTCAAATACTTGTTCTTTACTAATTACTAAGGGTCTGTTTGGAGCAATTTTCTATTGCAACCATAATACTGAAGTTGCTTTCTTTATAGCAACTTCACAACCAATTTTATAAAAAATTTCAGTCATCCCAAAAAATCTAAAGTTTACTTATTTTGTTAAATTTAATTCAAAATAGAATTTTTATTCACTAAATATTTAATATAGTCTAAACAATTATTTTCAGCCTCACAAAACTTATCTAAGTATAAAAATTAATCTCTTGGAGAATGACATCTTAATAATAACTGAGCTTTAACCTCTTAATTAATGGTGTAAGAAAAATATTTTTTTTGGGAAAAAAAAAGAAGTAATGCGAATTAAGTAGGAATTTTCAGTTATTTTCTCGTTGGTTTAGATGGGCCAAGTAGATCCGACATTGGGTCACTCTTTGGCGGTCCATACGTTATGTATGCTTTGGGTCCGGCCCACCAGTATTATTTTTCATGTGAGCTTCTAAAATATAATTTTTATTTTTTATGTTTTCATCAAGTTTAGGGTATAAATACTTATATAGATCCAAATATAATTTTGGTTGGGAATTCATAAATCATAAAAATTTTCATCAATTCAATACGAATTTTGATGTGATTTAAAAAAAAAAATTAAGCACTTTAGTTGATCTGAAAATCTCCACAACAAATTATTTGAAGGGCAAAATGTAATTTGATTTTGGTGTACATCAAGAATGTATGAAATAAAATATGAATGAGCTGAAAATAATACTCAAAAGAAAAATTAAAAAGTTTAAAAAACTAATTGTAGGAACAAAGCGGATTATAAATTCAACAAATTTATAATGAAATAATTGTCTCATTGGATGAATTATTGTTTATATATATATAATTGACATATTTAATAGTATTCATAATAAAATCATTGCATAACTATTTGAAAATACAATGACTTAAAAGAGAAAAAATTATAGATTGTGCTCTTACTTGAAAAATGTTGAGAGTGCTTTCGAAATCATCAATTTGCACTCACATTAAGAATAATTCCTAGCTATGTCATGTCGTCCAACATCTACTAGAATCCGACACATGTTGCCGCTTAATATGATACTCATTTTGGATAGAATCTTAAGCTTCATTTGAGACAGTTTCTGTACTACTTTTTAAAACGGTTTTCTAGTACAAAAATTTCAAATTCAAGAATTTTTTGTACTAGAAAGCTATTTTAAAAAGTAAGAAGAAAGTTGTATCAAACAAAGCCTTAATCACCTAATGTCTACACTCTACAGCCATTTGAAATCTAACATCTCCCATCTGACATTTGACATCCTAAAATGCTTTAAATTCAATATATGTCATCCTTCAACACTCACATTCTCTAACATTCAATGCCTGTCATCCTACAACACGTACCATTGCCATAAAAAACCATCTAACAGACTAAGGTTTCATTTGGGACGATTTTTTTGTTGTTTCTTAACGCAACTTTTTAATACAAAAATTAAAATATTTATACTATAAAACTGCTTTAAGAAGCAACAAGAAAGTTGTCTCAAACAAAACCTAACGCTCACTCTTGCATGTTACTAACTATCATCTAATAATTGTCGTGATCTTATATCTATTGTCTCTCAATCAATCAATATATCCATAGAAAAAACACTTTCTTCCTACTCTAAATTTTAATATCGTATATTCACGTCCTATCAATATATTTGAAAAGTTTTTTTTTTTTGGGACATTTAGGCCATTTAAGGCAAACTCACACACACAACGCATACACAGAGACTCGAACCTTAGACCTCTTAGTTGGAAGCCTTAGCTCTCAACCAATAGGCCAAGGAGAGTTGTGTAATATATTTGAAAAGTTGATATTGTAAAATGAAGCATAGCTCATCCCATTACATCATTATTGAATCTCCATACTGACTATGGATCATCACATTTAATAAGACATATATGTCCATTTAATCTTACCACATATCCCTATTTGATTTATTTTGTACTTTTCAATCCATTTCTTAAATAAATAAATCTTAACTATCATTTTATATAACCAAAGAAGCATAAACATCCGCCACATTTATAATATCCACAAATATAATTATCTTCATAACAATAACCCTAAACCCTAAACATTATTCACCTCCACCAAATTTATATTTTAATAATATATCAATTGTCTTAACATCATTTTTCTTATTGACATCAACATATAATAACTTATAACATTACCCATTACCCTTTAATTATTCTCCTTGCCATTTAATTTCTAATTCTTCTTCTAATCATTGTATTCAAAGATTCTCATCTTCTCATTTTAAATTGCCAAAATTCACCTATCAAATCTAATCCTAATTTTAGGTCAACTTCAACATATCTCTCTGCTAAAATTACTCATTTTCATTTAATTGATATGCAAATTTATGAATAGAAACCAGATTACGGAACAAGAAATTCTATAGATTTAGTAAAGAAACCCAACAAGTTTCTGATGGATCTTAAAAATATCTAAAAGATTTAAATAGTTCAAGCAAAGTAATACAAAACAAGGAGGTGAAATCCTACTTCAAAGGAAGGTACAGAAATTGTTTTGGAACTAGTGAGCTATGACTGAATAGGTTGATTTGCTTCAGGAGAGTTTTCTTCTTTCTTCTTTGAATCTTTCAGATATTTCCACCCACCTTTATTAACCCCACTTATTTTCACAGGAACATCAGAAACTGGTAAGCCTGCAGGTGAACAAGAGAAGGATAGAAACGAGACATGGCTCTGAATTGCACATTGCAAAACTCATTGAGAAAATTCGTTTATAAATTTAAACTATACAAACTTGCAAGAAAAAAAAAATGCGAAGTAAACTCATCCTATGACAACTATGGCCAATATTTGTGTGAGGTTGAAAAAAGACAAACTCCCAGGCACTAGATAGCGTAAGGAATGCAGGGAAGAAAGATTGATTATATATAATAAGCAAGCATTCAGCGACACAACGGAAGTTTTAAAAGTGCAAAATCTCTAGACTAGTAAAAAAAGTGGTTTGCAGATTTGACCAAACAACTCAGGCTAAGTTTTCTTTGTCTATTTTGCTTTCTAACTGGTCAAGATCATTACACTCCCAAGTACAGTTTTTACAAAATCATATGATTTCAATATAGCTCATTGGTTTCTTCTAAAATTCAAAAGTATTTGGAAGATGCACCACTGATTAGTGGCTAGTCCTTTACTCAAAGGGAAAGATACTTCAGTATTTTTTCAAAAATTTCATCGTTTCTTAAATGCGATCTAAGTCAAATCAACAACGGGATAATATTCCTTCTCCTCTCTTCTAACATTTCATCAATCTATCCTTCTAGTTTTCTCCTTTTTACCAACCACACGATTCCCATTTGTTCTTCTTTCAAAAATCATTGAAAGTTTTTGTATGAGGATGAAAGAGAGGGGAGGGGATATCTTCACATGGCAACATAGAAGACACACTTCCATCTGCATGAGAAGCTCCATTAGGTATCAGATCAAGCTAAGATTCAACTTTAGATAAAGTATGCATATTATGCACTAAAATGTGCCAAGTTTCATGTACAACAATTTGGAGTAATCAGATATAGCACAACTCAGACAACACTATTTTTTTGTTGCTTAGAGCCATCTTGTAAAACTAAAAGAGTGCTAGAGTAATGCTTACGAAATTTCTGTAAATAAACCACACATGTATTAACTAAATGTAATTTTATTCGGTTGGCGCCATACTCTTGACTTCCTCCTCATGGTTTAATTATTTTGAACAAATATGTAAAAGGTACTAGTTTTTTAAATTTCGTTTAATTTCTATGCTTGTAAACACAGAGAGATTAACAAAGCAAATTCCAACTGAAACCCGCATATAAAACTTAAAATAAATAGTAGCTTCTGATGAGACAGCACAATAGTAACTAAAAAAATATTATGGTAATCCGAAAAGGAGAGAGTTTTCTAACGTACTCTTAGGCATTCTAAACAAAGCCCACAAACGCAAGGACTGTTATTATCAAGTCATTCAGGAAGAAACCACCGATGAAAGAATGGAATAGATTATTTATATGTATGTGTTAAAATATTGGCTGCCTAGAATGCCCATTTTATGAGAACCTTAGATTTACTAATCAGGACCAAAACAGGAAATGTCAGTTAGAATTTCCTAATGCGCATGCTTTGAAAATTTCAGAAAAAAATCAAATTATGGGGAGAGTAGACCTGTCAAGCTTCAAGCATTTTCCATCTTGCGTATCAAATGCACAGATTGAATAGTTGAAAACACGGAATTAAGAGGGTAATTTCACCCTCTTTCAGAAATTAATTCATCCAAAATCCATTGCCATCCTACTGCATCTAAATCATTCTTTCTTTCATGGCCTTCAAATGAAGCGGTGTCAATTTTACAACTTTCAGAAAAAAAAAATCAATAAACCAAATATCTCATGTGTTCAATGTGTGGACAAAGTACAAAATCCAAACCTGACCAGATCCTAAAGCAAGCACCCGTCAATGATATTCATGCATCCGAAGAATAAATGCCACAACAGATCAGTAAACAATTAAGAGGAAAAGAAAAAACTCACCGGCCTTGTATCTAACGCCCCAAGCTTTGCCGTGGCGCCCATCCTTGTAGAGATTGATCTTGGTGATCTCGTAGGAAAGATCCCTCCAACTGCTCTTGCACATCTTGTACCCAATTCCCCAATTGGGAAGAAAGTGCGCAACGTCAAATAGATTCTTCTTCTTCCTCCGCTTGGGTTTGCTTGCTTCTACTTCGGATACTGTATTCAGAGCACGAGATGCCGACGCTTTTAACCCTCCAAGAGACTGCTGAAATAGCTCAATGGATCTGCTCGCAGCACGCGTTGCCGTCGGATACGAGGAGGATAAATTCATTTTCCTTCACAGTCCGGCGTGGGCTCAAATAACCTTTCAGTGAGCTCAAGTTCTTCTCAAGGGTATTGGGGAGGAGGCTTAGGGAGGTGTCGGTTCTGTAGAGCAGGCTCCCCGAACCCTAATTCCTACGGCCACGCGGCTTTTTCAGGCTAAATCCAAATTAAACCAAATACTAATCCGATTTTTTCTTTAAAAAAATTTGAGAACAAAACCTAATTTCATTTTGAATAACTTATAAGAGATAATTGTCTAAAAAAATAAAAGTACAACTCAACTTAGGAGTTTTTTTATTTCTTTCTAAATCAATTTTATAATATAAAATTTTTTAATTCAAAAATTTTTTGTTCTACAAATTATTTTAGAATGATGCCTTAAACAACCCTACAATAAAGATTAGAAAAATCAAAACAAAACTTTAAAAATAGAACTAAAAAATGAGCAAAAGAACTTCTAAATATTGAGTAAATCTTCATATAATATACAATTTCCATCCCTTGTTTGTCATTAGGCATTCTCCAACCGAACTTCAAACGCATGAATGGCGTCGCTCGCGAGCTCCAGCCGAACGGCAAAACTTCCGGTATTTGGTTGAGGGTGAACAATGCAATTGTTTACCTGCGTCATTTTTCTATTTCTATCGGATTTGTCAAAGAAACGCGCGAAAGAGAAAGACGATTACATAGGCGCAAAATGGATTAGATTGGAGATGGATCACACCTTTTTTTAGTTTCACTGTATTTTGGAGTGAAAAATAAGATTTTCGGTTGGAGATTCCCAATAACCAGCTTGATTCACAGGCAATTAGCTTTAATAAAAATTTATTATCTTAGTCTAAATAGAACATTAGTTTTATGTAAATGTTCCAATATTGAAAAAATATATTATATAGACATGAATGGATCCTTACCAACTGTTTCTACCAATACTTTTTACGATCCCTTCGTCTCTCTTTATCTTTCCCATTGTTATAAATCATCATCACCTGATAAACAACAAACTTTTACAATCCCTAAAGCTTTAGAACACATTTTTCAATTAGCTGAAGAAATACAAATTATAGGCGAAGACCCAATTAAACATTGGGATAAAAATAAAGAATTAGCTGAGCTACCTATTATAAATCCAGACTTAATAATTAAAACTAAAGAATTAGAATATTCACCTAAAGATAAAGAAGAATTTCTTATTCAAATTAATGAATTAAAAACGTTAAAATTAATAAAACCATCAAAATCACCACATAGATCTGCAGCTTTTATGGTTAGAAATCATGCTGAAATCAACCGAAATAAAGCAAGAATGGTTATCAACTATAAAAGACTAAATGATAATACAGGATAAAAAGTATTTTAGCAAATTTGATTGCAAATCAGGATTTTGGCAAATATATAAATTTTTAAACAGTAGCCAAATTGCATCTACATGCATTAGCCAAAAAGTTTTTGCTAAACAAATACTTATTAGTGAATTAGAACAAATATTAGCCTCTAATTAAATCATATGATGAGATTAAGCATTATACCCATCTCATATAAAAAAAGAATAATTTGTAGCCATAAATGCATTCATTATAGGGTTGGAAAACTTTAGCATAAGCAAGTGGAGTGTTCATGCATCATTGTATTTGGACCCACCAATTATGAAGTAGCTAGCCAAATCTAATCATAAATATATTCAAGATAAAGTATAAAGCTATTCCAAAAATTCCCAAAAGTTACAAAATCCAAAAAAAAAAAAAATCGATACAATCAAGCAAAAGAAAAATAGAACTTTAGGAGAGGAGATTTAGAATTAAGAAAAAAAATAAAGTAGAGCCGATGGACTGCAAAGTCACCGCATGTTTCAGAAGATTAAGGCTTCGTTTGGGACGGCTTTTTAATTGCTTTCTAAAACGGAGTTTTAGTACATTTTTTTTTATTTTGGTACTAAAACTCCGTTTTAGAAAATAATAAAAAAGCCGTCCCAAACGAAGCCTAAGTATTTCATCTCCTAGAATTTTACCTATTTATATGATTTAAGAAGAATAGCATTTATGAGTTTATAGCAAATAGTGGCCATGCTATCAATAGTTTCTTTAAATTTTTTATTATTTCATTCCCTCCAAATATGATATAAAGCTCAATAAATAGAACTATAAATACAAGTTTCCTGTAGAAGATTCGAATTTACATTTATCTAGTTTTTTTAAGAAATTTGTGCAATGTTTAACTACAATGATGCGAGTAATGATGTTATTAGACTTAGATTGTTTTCATTTTCTCTAAAAGACAAAGTTAAATTTTGGTTGAATTCTTTATCCCTAGGCTCTATAACCATTTGGAATGAGTTGGCTCATAAATTTCTTACTAAATATTTTTCACCTTCAAAAACTATCACACTTAGAAATGACATAACTTCTTTTACTCAGTTTGAAGGAGAATCTATTTATGAGGGTTGAAAATGATTTAAGGAAATGCTTAGAAAATGCCCCCATCATGCATTGCCTGATTGATTGATTATTCAAATATTTTATAATAGATTGGTAGGATCTCTTAAAGTTATAATTGATATTGCAGCTAGAGTATCATTATTATCTAAGTCATTTGAGAAAGCATATAAATTAATAGAGGAAATAGCTACTAATAATTTCAAGTGGCCTACTGAAAGGGTAAATCCTAAAAAAAATAGATTGAATTTATGAATCTGATGCTTTATCAATCTTGACTTCACAAGTTGCAGCGATTTCTAAGAAATTGAATATAATAGGAATAAATTCTAGAATAGGAACTGAGTCCTGAGAGAATCAAATTTTAATTGAAGAAAATATAATGCAATGGAATGAAAATATTAATGTAGTTGGAAGACAAAATAATCCCTATTTAAATACATATAATCTAGGTTAGATGAGTAATCCTAATTTTAATTATTCAAATAATATAGGCGATAATAATCAATGGAATAACTGACAGTATAATCAAGGAATAAATTGGAACACTTCTTAACAACCTGTTGTTAATCATAAACTTATATATCCTCGAGGATTGAATCAAAACAATTAATTTGAAAATAAAAAATAGCATTGAAAGATGTAGTTATACAATTAGGATCTCGATTGCAAAATCAAGCGATTTCTATTAAAATTTGGAAAAATCAATTAAATCAGCTTGCAATTTCAATTAGTAGTAGATCTTTTGGATCTTTATTGAGTAAAAATGAAATTAATCCGCTAGAAAAAGAAAAAGATCTTAATGGAAACCATTTAGAGAAAGAAAACTATATAGCCCAGCAAATTGAAATATTTAGGCAAGTTTGGCTAAATACTATAAAATTAGCGTTGTATGGGAGGCAACACACTTGATATGTTATTTATGGTGCCTAATGCACTAGTTATCTTGCAACCTATGTTATGTTAAGTTATGTTAACACATGTTTTATACACATTTTATCATTTATATGAAAGTATGTGTAGTGTTAATTATTATTTTTGTTTCTTTTATTTACATTTTATTAAAATTTCCCTCATGCTTGCTATAATTTTTGAATTCTGATGATCTAATTAACCTTAATAAAAATAATAATTAAAAATTATGTAAAATTCAAATAGCAATAAAACAATAAATCATAATAAACTGATAATTAATCAGTTAATTATTACTCTTTATACTTCATAGAGTGAAAATAATAATTGATATGTCCACATAAAATATCTTGATCAGGCACGAATCCTAAGGCAAAATCAAGTTGGAAACTTCTGAAATTAAAATTGGAGTCATCCGAACTCCGATTTCAACAAACTTATAGTCGAACTAAACGTCTCGGAAATACGAACCCAACGACACCAAATTCGACTCAATCCGAGCCTAAATGAGTTTGAGTCAAGGATTTGAAGCAATGTTGGAAGGTTTGAACCACAATTTGGATTACCAAACAATTTCCAAACGTGACATGCTTATAGTCGAATCGAGCAGCTCGACTAGATGAATCCAATGAACCCAAGATCGTAGAATTCCAACATCATGAAGACCTTCAAATGTCTAACGAACGATCCATGATCAAGGGATTCAACATCGACCGTCCATTTAAACCACTCCTCATTTGCCCTTGATCCTCCTCCTATTTACGGGTCATGCCACCCTAAAAAATCTATAAATAGACTCATCCTCCCTCTTGAAAGGGGAACCAAAGCCAAAGGATTCAAGAGAGAGATCGGAAATCACTCTTGCCTCCTTGATCCTCCTCAACCATCGCATGAGTTCCACCGGACCACCACCTGATGTCGTTGCACCGCTGAACCACCACTTGAGGCCATCACCTCCGCCGGACCACCACTTGAGGCCCTGAACTCCGCCGGACCACGACTTGAGGCCTTAAACTCATCTGGAACACCACTTAAGGCCATGAGCAGCGTCGGACCACCACTTGAGGCCTTGAACTCCATCGGACCACCACTTAAGGCCTCACATCTGCCGGACCACCACTTGAGGCCCTGAACTCCTCCAGACCACCACTTGAGGCCTTGAGCTCCGCCAGACCACCACTTGATGCCCTCACATTTTTCGGACCACCACTTGAGGCCCTGAACTCCGTCGGACCACCACTTGAGGCTTTCACTCATACCGGACCACCACCAGAGGCCTGGAGCTCTACCGGACCACCATCAGAAGCCCATACTGCCAGATCGCCACCTGAGACCCAGAATTCTACCATACCACCAAGTGACGCCGAACTAGCATCCTTGTTTGTCTCTAGATTTCAACTTTACAGTTGACATTTGTAATCTTATCTCCCCCGAGGATGAGTTAGCCCGTTGTAACCTACTCGAATTCTAGTGGAATCACGTTCAACTAGGCCATGCCCCGTAGTTTTTTCCCTTTCCAGGATTTTTCATGTAAAAAATCTTGTGTTATGTGTGTGAGCTGGATATTCATGCAACACTACTAACTCTATCATCGCAAATATTCTAGCCTGCAACAACAATTAACTGAATTAGATTATTTATGTTATTGCTTTAATTTGATTAGGAGAATTTGATGTTCTAATCGCAACGACGCAATCCGTTCAACGATTGAACATCATTTAATCCTTCAACTAATGCGTCGTGCCGCTTTTGCTGTCAATTTTACTCTTTTACCTACATATTCGATACATAAGTGGACATTTTATCATTCAATTAATATCCTAAAATTTTCAATTATATTTCTAAGTGCTTGATTTGAGTTTACTTGACATCAAATAGACTCATTTTTTTTGTGTTGTTTGGTGTCTCATCAAGGCATCCGACCAAACTGATTTTTAACGGCATATCACAACTCATGTTGCATTGTTAGGGCTTGAAATTATTGTAGGACCATTTATTATTCAATCAAATAGTTATATTATAGGAAGGTGCCTTCTTGATTTTAACTCATTTTGTATTGCAAATATCAGTAACCAAGCTTAGCTATTCACCACTGGCGTTAATTCAATAATCAAGCTTTCAAGTTCATTAGGAATCAACAGAAACACTCAGAAGCACATAAAACCACCTAAATTTCCATTTATACAGAACCCTACATAGACAGACCCTTCATTTGCAATAATGGGCATAGTAATATAGTATGTCCATGGAATTCAAATGTATCCTAAAACTAATAAACATAGAATTTATATAAAAAAAATGGTTGAATAATCTGAAATAGTAGAACCTGGACAAGAACCTCATCCATTCCTAACAAATCTCATCAAGTTAAGCCCAAAGAGGACTTTTGCCTGGCTAATAGGTGCTTCAGCTGGTTTATCATCTGTTGATTGTTGCATATGTGATCCTCAAAAGACTTCCTTAAGCTCTGGAGTAACATTACATCGCTTTCGTTCGATCGGTTGTTAAGAAGGCTGGAGAAGAGATTACTCCATAATTCAACTTTCCAATACCTAGATTTTGCATAAATCAAAGCCATTAATGGATATTCTTGAGCTTGAGGCATTGTTTGGGACTGCTTTCTTTCTGCTTCTTAATTTTGTACTAAAAAATTGCTTTAAGAAGTAAAAAGAAAGCCGTCCCAAACGAAGCTTGAATTAGCTAAACTGGACATGTACAGAACGCAAAAATTACCTTTTAAAGGGTTTTTTAGGCTGATAATGATCACTTCCGTTGGGTTTAGCCTTTTTTTCAAGGGTCAGGTACGATCCATGAAGCATCATATGAACAATAACACAAAGGCCATAGGTGTCAACCTGCTAATCAAGAGAAATTTACATAAAAAGTCTAAAGAAAGATGTGGATCTCAGGTATGAATATTTTGTGACCTGATATGTCCAAGGCTGATTTTCCTGCATCTGAACACAGCGAAAGCCAGAAGTGTGGCAGTCACCAATAAAATTAGTGCCAGCAGGAAATAGGCCTAAGTCAATACCCCTTCCCCAATCCACAAGGCATAAACCCTACAAAGGAGTAAATATGATTGCCATAAGAACCCATAGCACCAGCACCTATTCAAATAAAGCCTAGAGCCAACTCAAGCACAAAGTATAGAACATTTCCCCATGGGATTAGGGGCAAGAGGGGGAGAAGGGAACCTGGTCGGCCCAATTTCCAGTTCTACTACTGAATCCATCTGCACTCAATTCTTCCCTGCCACACAAACAACTCATCGCATGAGGCGCTAATTAGAAACATTCTCATTTTAAGCATCCTAAGATAGTAGCAGATCACAAAAATAACTGCATTGTTAAACAAATATATTTCCTCATATAGAGAGTATTGACAACTCGAGGCAAACTAGTTGCTCGCCGGAGTGGTCGGGCAGGACAAAGCGAGAACAGAACATCTCAAATGGTTCTTAGGAAAATACCGTTACTATGGCATTGCTTAGGTGAATACCTCCCCATAGAACACCATATAACCAGGCGAGCACCTTTGCCTTGATTGGAAAATTAGTACTAACATTTAAAATGCAAAAAATGAGTTCATTTTTAATAATGATAATTTAATGTCATGATGTGGACAAGACTTGGAAAAACAAAAAAGTATAGATTCAACCGACACACTTTCTGTTTATCGTTTATCATTCCTGAAAATTAAATCTAAGTGGTGTTGCAAATAGCCCAACAACCATCAGGGAAAAAAGGTAATCAGATTAATTTGGCATAAAATATAGAAATGTTATGAGGAAGAAAAAAAAATGATAGGTGAAATCTTAGTTGTGCTGCAAATTGAAACGAGAATTAGGAGAAATGCAATTATTTAATCTTTAAAAAAATGCAAAGCATGTTAGATGCTGTGATGCACCGACATTTCTCCTCAAAAAGACGTGCAGTATCCGACACATATCCGACACAACACGCATCTGACACTCCTTCGACATGTGTCGGACAAGTCGAAAACGTGTCCGATCAAAATAAATATTTAATAAAAATTGGACACGCGTATCCGAAACGCGTATCGATCTTAAATATTTTATGAATTTTTTTTAATATAATTTCGTGTATTTAAAATTTTTACTTATTTTAACATATAAAAACTAAATTTTTTCTTGTTTCCTATCCACATCACCAAATTAACTGTCGGCACTAAATACCCCATTCATCGAATATTTTCATTTCCATTTCTCTTTGGCACTGAAGGTATTTTCATCTCCTCTCTCGATGACTAATAAACGACATCGACGCCCGACTCTCAACATCCTAATATTAATCATTTTAAGCACAAATTCTAGTTAAATGACATATTATTTTTAATTTATTTTTAAGATTATACTTATTTAATTTTTATATGCTATTTTTAAAATATAAAATTTATAATAACGTGTCCAACCCGTGTCTGGGTCCAATATTTTCAATAATTGGCGTGTCCCATATCCGTGTCGTGCGTATCCGTCTCATCGTGTCCGTGTATGTGCATCATAGGTTAGATGCTACTCAAATCATAATCAAATTAAGCAAAATTAGTCATGAAAAGATGCATAAAGGACCAGAAAAATGTAAAAAGTCATAAAAACCTAGTCTTTTAAGATGCTTTTGTATATAAAATGAAGATGGGAATGAACATTTTCAGGGTACATGTTTAATTTATCTACATAGCATAAAAAAAAACAAGTTCTAAGCTTTAGAATACAAGTGTCCCAATGTTATTTAACCAGATACCTTCTTAACATTTAATCCAAGTATTTGCTCTTAATTTCCATGATCAAAGAATGCAGTCAGCCAGCCACTGTGTTTCTGGAAATTTAAACTTCGAACCATAATTTTGAATAGAAAAAACAATTAGTGGTTAGAGGATTCCACCGATTGGAATGGTGTTAAAAACTAAACAGCATTCTTCCATTAATTTCTAATAAAATAAATTATATTGCACTCATCAATAATAGCTAAAAATAGATAGTAAAAGTAATACTCCAAATCCTCTAGTGGTATAAGTTTTAGAGTGGAATAGAGTAGTAATAAATGCATATAGAACGGTTTTCAATTATTAGGAGCAGAAATCACCATTTTGGGTAAATTCTTGGAGAAAAAATAACGTACGACCTCATGGTAGAGATCCAAAGTAAAAAAGAATGAGAAGTTTGTTCTATAACAGTCTCAGTGGTATCAATAGTTACCTAGAATAACGGACAAGAAGATTGTCTGGTTTAAAATCACCATGAATTATACCGACACTATGCAAAGTCTCCAACATGCGAAGCATCTCTATTGAGTAATGGATGCATAGTACCTCCTCCATGACTTTATTTGTAACCAAATGTGAATTTATAGCATCCTGTGTAAGGATTTTGTGAGAAGATCCATAAGAAAATGTATCCAAATCTGTACTTTGCAGAAAAAACTAAGGCTCTGTTTGGGACGGTTTTTTTACTACTTCTTAAAGCAGTTTTTTAGTACAAAGGGTTTAATTTTTGTACTAAAAACCTGCTTTATGAATCAGTTGGAAAGCCATCTCAAACGAAGCCTAAAACACACCTGGACGAAGTGACAGTAGAAGAGAGCCATGCCTGTGTGGCAGGCGTATTTACCTGAAGAGTTCCATGGGGCAAGTAGTCTGTCACTAATATGCTAGAATCAGCATAGATGTGCGCCCTATGAGCAAAGCCGAAGCTTGACCTCTGACAAAAAAAGAAAAAATAATATTATTACTGTTATAAAGGAAAATAAGATCCTGCCAAAATAGTAAAAATTAGTTGATAGTATACTTCCTCAGAGCGAATGCGCTCATCAAGCAGACGATACATGTAGAATTCCCAAGGAAAAGCAGGCCTTTGAATCTACAGGAAATTAGAATAGTAAATATTGGTCATAAAATCATACCAGTTGAACACTGAAAGGGAGTTAGGTGGCGCATAATAACCTTCAGGGCAACAACATCATCAGGGTTGTTGTCAACAAAAGCTTTATAAACTTGAGCAAATCTACCTACACCTGAGCAACCTTTGATTTGGTACTTTTCACCACCTTTAAACAACAGAGAATTAAGGTGAATAACTTATGGTTGTGTAAGAATAGGATTTTTCTGATGGAGATTATATAAGGAATAAAGAATAATCATGATTAAGGATAGAATACTAAAGTTCAACTTTATGATGACGATGTAAAAATAGCTTAAACAAATTTCATAATAAGACCATTCTCTGGCCCTGATTATGGGTTGCTCTAAGAAATAACTATATAAAAATATGTAAGCCCTATTATTCAAATTTGTTTGAAGATCATTAAAAATAAACAACCTGTTGCAGGCTAGAATATATGCAGCAATAGAGTTTGCAATTTTACGTCCAAGTGTTGTACGAATATTCAGCGCACACAAACAGAAGATAAAAAGGAAAATAAACACTATAATTTTTATGTAGAAAACCCGAAAGAGGGAAAAAACCACGGGGTCATGCCCAGTTGAAGTAATTCCACTAGTGTTTGTTTGAAGTGCAAAGGCTGATTCGTCCCACAAGTTAAGACGATCAAATTACAATCAATTTCTTCTAAATTGAGACAAAGTTACAAAGTTCTGCAGAATTCCGACGTCTCCCGAACATCCGGGAGAATTCCGGTGTATTCAGGCTGCGGAAAGAACTCCGGTGGTGGTCGAGGAGGAGCTAATTCTCCTCCTCTTCTTCTTCTCTCTCTTGCTTCTCTCTCTTGCTTGACTTCCCTCTTGTGAAGAATGAGGGCTCTATTTATAGTTTTTCTGGAGTGGCATAGCTCGTAAATAAGCGCGAGATCAAGGTCAAATAGGGAATGGTTGAATGGACGGCTGATATTGAATCCCTTGATCGTGCACCGTTTGTCAGACATTTGAAGGCCTTAGTGATGTCGGAATTCGATGATCTTGGGTTCGTTGGATTCGTCTCGTCGAGCCATTCGATTCGACTATAAGCTCGTTAAAATCGGAGACCGTTTGGTAACTCAAATTGTGGTTTGAGCTTTCCAACAGCACTTCGGGTGCTTGATTTGGGCTCATTCGGGCTCGGATCGAGTTGAATTTGGTGTCGTTGGGTTCGTATTTCCAAGACGCTCAGTTTGACTATAAGCTCGTTGAAATCAGAGTTCGGATGCTCCTAAATTTAATTTATGAAGTTTCTAACTTGATTTTTGCGCCGAGATTCGTGCCCCATCAAATAATTTCATGATGACGTATCACAACCATATCCCACAAATATAAGACTGTTATCCGCAAAAAATCTTATTTTCTTTCCTTCAGTACTGAAATAGGGTGAACTGAAATAGGGTGAATCGATCAAATTGAGCTTGGAAAGCATATCAACAAACTTCAGCAGAAATGGAGCAAATGAAAACTGTCTTTCATTATAGGTATTCCTTGATGAAGTTTATAGTAGACTCTGCCTACGCCATACTTCTTATTCCTCATCTTGTCATTCTACCAACTTATGCATTCTCGAAGTGTTTTTTTTTTTTTTTTTTTCTTCTGATTCAATTCAGGACAATATCCCAATTTATTGATGAAACACATGGTGGGAGAACATAGAGCCAATTTCGAAGAAGGTACATATGGTGGCACAAACTATATTGTATCATCAGCCACTATATTAAAAAAGTTACAGACGTCCACTCTTCCCTTCAATTAGAGAAACGGGATTACAAAAGATTTAACTCAAATTTATTCTCCTCTAATAGAAGTAGAGCTTGCTAGAAATAGTGAAGGGATAATCACAATGGTAAGATGATATTAGTCGAGCAACGGTGGTTAGATAATGGAAGTTAGATGACAGTCAGACAGAGTTGATTGGGCGAAGGAAATCAAATGATGGTGAATGAACAATGACAATTCGGCGGTGAATGTCAGAGGATGACTTTCAGGCATCGACAAACAAATAATAGCAATAGGTTGATAACAATGGCTGATGATGACATTGGCATCGAATGTCGCATAAAACTCTAAAGTTCTTCAAATCTTCAAGGTCTCTTGCTTCTTGCCCATTTCTTCTTCATGTAGAGAATGAGGGATAGTGACATTCAAATAAATGCAGCTAAAACTCCATATCAAATCATTTGATCATCAATTGTTTATTCAACATGTGCCTTAATGATTTTAGAATTGAATAACCTTTGGCTCATCGGATTCATCTCACCGAGACGATCAGTTTCACTATAAACCCGCAAAATTTAGAGACCAATTGGTCCTTTAATTAATGCCTTAGAATTTTAAATAACACTTTTGTTGCTTGATTTTGGCACATTTGAGCTCAGATCGGATTACTTTTGTTATTGTGGAGTTTGTCCCATTGAGATGGTCAATTTGACAATAAGTATGTTAAATTTGAAGATTAAATTATTCAAAATTTAATTTTGAAAGTTTTTAATTTAAAGGTTACATCAATATTTGTAGTTGACCAAAAGAATTTTTTGATGATGTATCAAGTAATAAAAGCACAATGTGATTTCTTCTTTGTTTGCTGTATATTGCAGTGTCTGTTCACTTGATGTATTTATCATGAATTTTGATAACTGTACTATATTTAGTTATTTACTCAATTACCTCATCATCATCATTTCTTCATTGATAGGTTAATCTGTGTATGTCGTTATGATGCATTTCCAGCACTAAAGAAGAATGTTTAAAAGGGAAAAGTGATGAAGAGTTTTTAATTACTTTCACGTTGTTTCAAAGTTTTGAAGAAGCCAAGTATTCTGTAGGACAACAGAAGATATATTTTATTAGCTTGCGCCAATATTGGTGCATTCATTCCTACGACAATGTCACATGGCTTAGTGATAAATTATATAGTTGTAACAAGCTTCAGCAAGCACCGGTCAGAAAATTTGATATCATGGACCGGCTTATCCCATTTTCAGTAGAAAAAGCCGTTATGCTTTAAGATATTTCCATTCAGATGTTTCAAGATTTCTTTCTATACTTATTAGATTCAGCTCTGCTGACCTGATTATTTTAAAGTTTGAAAATGATTTAGGCTTCATTTTGGGACGGCTTTCTTTCTACTTCTTAAATCAGCTTTTTAGTACAAAATTTTTAATTTTTTATTGGAAAAAGCTGCTTTAAGAAGCTGAAAGAAAACCGTCCCAAACAAAACCTTAAGCATTATTTCTAATTGCCCAAGACTGCAAACTTTCTTATTACATGAAATATGTTTTAATTCTTATATTGAATGTCAGGATGCATAGAATCAGTAGCAGACACTTCTTAATCTGAAACAAGCACAGAAAAACAGAATTATGTAAAATTCTTGATAGTTCCTCTACTCACGTACACATGCATGTAACTGCAAATTTAGCATCTATGAAGAAGAACGTTAACAATAACCCAAATAAAATAAAAAGGCAAACGATAGCCTATAGAAATTACCACCTAGCTCAAGTGTTTTATTCCTCGAGGAGCTTTGTAATGATGATAAGGATGCTTTTCCTGAGTAGATCTTGTTACTAGCATGATAACCCTGAACATGTTAGCAATTTAGTAAATGATTTGAAAGGACAAATAAACTTCAAATTTATCCCATTTAACAAAGCCAATAAAACTGTATCTTACAGCATATTTTTTTATGCAGGTTTCCTTCTTTTTCAGGAAGCTGTCTATTACAGAAGTTGACCAAGGATCTACACAATACTGGTCCTGCCTTTCATGTACAATTTTGTCAACCTGCAAGTAGAATAATCAGAAAAAAGAAAGAGATACACAGAGCTTTTGTAACACAATATAAAGAATTAAAAAATGTAAACAACATTTTAACTGTTAGAAGCAAAACAATTAGCCAATTTTCTTCTAGACAATCTAACCAAAATTTTATATTAGTATATTACAAAACTGAAAGCACACAATATGCAAACTAGCGGTCTTCTTGTGTTCATACTTCAAAGAAAATTATTAAGTTTGTTATTTTTTGCATCAAGAGAAGCTTGTTTATAGTACTTTGTATCATGAAAAAGCAAATATCCTTGAGAATTTCTGAAAAGCAACGCTCAGCGATTTATTTAAAAAATTAATGATGGGATGAACATGAACATAATATGAAGAAAGAGATATCAATGAGTCAGATTCTTGTGCATCAAGTTGACCATATAAAAACTACTAAAAGACAATATTCTAAATTGAAACTGAATTTGTCGAAAATATCACGTGAAATTCAACCTCCTCTAAGAAGTTGCTAAGCTTCTTAGAGCTTCAAGTCTCATAATATTATTATTTCATAATTGAACAAATTTATCTACTCCTTGCTAATCTAACAGTATAGGCAATTTCTAAACAACCGCTTGTGCAAGCAAACCATTATATATATCAAGACCATTGAAAGATCCCTCCCTGGAACCGAACGTTCCAAACACTCAGAAAGAAACAATAATATTCAAGTTATGTGAAGCGTAAAGAAGCACACCTGAGATTCAGGAGCAGCTTTCTGAATAATTTCCTCAACATGTTTCAGGAACATGGCATACATCCTCTTCAACCTCTCTAGAGGCTCTGCATTTCTATTAACCAAGCGCGACCACTATATTTACAATATGCCACCGTTGAATATAGGAAAAAAAAAAGATTCCCAAACCCAAACAGAAACCTCGAAATGCCGAGCCTGTACACTTTGTTGGCCTCCAGCAAGTCTCCTTTCGCGATAAGAAACGCCGCGTACGCCTCGAACAGCATCGATTGCCCCTGGCATATCCCTTTCGCCTCCATCATCTCAAAAATCCGCTTAAAGTCTTGAGTCACGTCCCCCTTTCCCCACAATAAGAAGATCATTGGAACCAATTGAAGCAAAACAACCCTCAAAAGGGTTCATATTTAACAAAATGCGAGGGTACGTTACATAAAGAATGCAGATCTTGAGAAATCTGGCGTCGTCCCGGTATTGCTCATCATCGGAGAAGTTCGAAATGCAGTTCTGAAGTAAGACCCTAAGACTATCTCCACATTTCTCGGGCTTCCTTCTGAACTCATCCAAAGCCCGGTAGATGGAAGTGAGCCAAGGAAAGAGGGGATCGGGCAAGGAACGAGGGGAAAGATGACGGCTTGAGTTTGGTGATTGAACATTTCGTGTTGGCGAGTAGCGAAATAGGCTGCCGACGGCTGCCTGCTCTAGCCGGCGGGAGATCACAACCATGGGTGATTGGCCGTGAGATGGAGGAGGAGAAAAAGCCTGGGGTGAAACCCAATATTCAATCCGGAGGGAAAGAGATTTTTCATTTTCGAATTCTGGGTTTAGCCTAAATGAGCCGGACCAGCAACTCACTTCGGTTGAGATAGCTTTACTTTCTTAATTTTTAAAACAGCTTTTTAATAGAAATTTTTTTTAGTTCAAAAAATTTTTGGGCTTTTTTTTTTTCTTTAATCATTAAGGAAGTTGTCCAAAACGAAATCTTAACTTTTTAGTAAAAAACATTTTATAAAGATATATTCTTGTTTATAATTTACCCCGTAATTTTCTATCTTAATTATAAAGTGTAAAGTTAAATAATTAATTGGCTAAAATTGCTTGCATATTCCTAGTTATGTTAATGTTCAATTGAAGTCTATAATTTGCACACGTCATCTTGGTCTGTTGGTTGAGAGCTTATGATTCCAACTAAGAGGTCTTGAATTCGAGTCTTTGTGTATGCGTTGTGTGTGAGTTTGTCTTAAATGACCTAAATGTCCCCAAAAAAATTCTATAATTTAAAATCTTCATAGCTATTAAAATTTTATAATATCACGATTGCTATTATACTATAAAGGAGAGTTGCAAGTTACGACATAATTCACACCAACCTATATTGACAGCAAAAATCGCCCGCTTGCAATAAACTAGATTATATCATTGGCCCAACCAATTCAAAATACACAGTTTAACAAAACTATTTTTTAATAATAAGAATTTCAAATTCCTTCGTAAATTTGCTTGTTAGAGCATTGTGCTTTCAGGCGTATCACCGCTGATAAGCCCCAAAGAGTGACGTCTCAGCCCTATAACTTTTCGTTCTAGTCTGAATCACATGCAACGTTGAGGCACTGAGGCACCTAGGCGCTACAACAATATGCACTAAAACAAGTTTTGATATATATTAAAATGTCATCAACTCTACTCTCTCCCTCACTCGTAGGCTTACCTAGGAAGGAAATGGGAATTGGGAAAGAGGAGAGGGGAGGAGGAGAGAGAAAAGATAAATTGATTTTTTGGCTGCGATTCATTTTGTTAGTTTTACGAAATTTCTTCACATCATTATGGATGACATTTATCCTATTTCTGTTTTTGAATATTTCATTTGATTTGTCCCCAATTGATTTTATATTATATTTTCTCTTGATTTAGTGAACTTCCACCATGTAGTTTTTAGTATAATATAGTATTAATTATTATGTAATTTCAATCAGTTGGTTTCGTATTTTCACTAGTTAAAATGAAAATTATTGCATTTTGTATGATTTGAATAGAAATAATAATTTTGACATTTTAATATAATTAGGTTGTTAATACAAGTATTGTGAATGAATATGAGCATGCTATTCGATAATACATTGTTGCTATTATGTTTAGTGTGTGAAAATAAGCAAAAACTAGTTATTCACTAACATTGGTTGGAGACTGTTTATAGCTGCGCAGGATGATGAGCCAATGAGCTTTTCTACAAATATTATAGCTTGTTGTATTATCCTCTATTGATTAACGGATTTTCGGATTGAGAGTTATAAATAATTAATTAATATTCCGATATTACATCAATTACTAAGAAAAAAAAAGAGTTAATTAATATTCTGACGGACAAAAATGACGACTATATTTACAAAGTCAGCAGTTACTGATTACTAAACAAATATCATTTATGCCAGAACTCTTTGACTTAGGAGTTCTATTTTGATGTTGTTACCTTTTTAAATAAATCAATTTCTTAAAAATGTGGCCGAATACAAGCTTAGCATATGTATCTCCTAAGGGACAATGTAGTACTATCACAATTTTTCGGAGGTGAGCATAAGCAATGAAACAAAATATGGGGCTTTAATCAATGGCCTTGAGATAGTCATTAACAAGGAAATTAAGTAGAGTAAAATCCCAAGAGATTTATACTTAAATCATCAATCAAGTGGCTAACATATATTAGGATCTTAAACCAAGCCTCTTTCATTACCACCATCAAATAATATACTTGCTATAAAATATTTTATATATTATTACATTATCTCACCACAACAATGGAAAGGAAGAAGAACAAGCCAAGTTAGGGAAAGCCAATTGATATTGATAGCTCATTTTACAAATAGTCATAATCTGAAATAGAATGGTTAAGTCACATTTATTTATTGCTCAACATGATATCAAAACTCTTAAAAAAATATCTTGTCAACCATAATGATTGATGGAGAGGATGACTAGAGACAACTCTCTATGGAATATGTACATGAGGGAAAACTTCTTAATGATTGCTATCTTGCTTCACAAATTTAAAAGAGAAAATTTTTATGTGCTTTATATTAATAGCACTATTAATCTTTATTTGATCAAATATACTTATTTTTCCTTGAATGAGATCAAGCACACAAGGTCAAGGGTGAAGTACATGGGGGACTATGATCTCCACCAATTGAGGCCTAAACTAAAAATAAAATTTACGAGACTTAGATATTACTAACTAATAATGACATTCGATTACATGAAATATGCTCACCCATGTCAACAGTATCCTGTCAAAGGCAATATTTTACGTAAACCCCCAAACCATCTTCACCATATTGTGACATCTTAGTCCTTTTATTGTTGGGGTATATACTTAGTTGGTTCAATTAACCTTTCCTTGTTAAATGGACATAGGTTTATTTTAACTTCCACTGAAGACTTCTCTATGTGGGAAGAAGTTATATCCCTTAAAGATGCCAAGTCAGATGCTTTATATTACTATATATGTCATATTGTGTGTCATTTTGATATACCTCAATGAATCATATCAGATAAAGATGTCACTTTTAAGAGTATAAAAATAAATAGATTTATTTGACATCAACACAATAATTAGTGATATTTTATCGTATATTACTCTAGGAAAAAAAATATTTTTGTTTCTTAAAGGAAAATTAAGTTCAAATTATAAAAAAATTATCATCTATAAACAAAGAAGAATGGTGTTATAAACTCATTAATGTATTGTGGATGTATAAAACTAATTATTACATGTTAATGCAATGGACTCAATATGCACTTACTTTTGGGTTAAAACTCCACCTCCATCTTCTAAAGCCTTCACACACAAGTTCTCAACAATCAAAGCCTCCTTAATATGTAGTGCAAACACATTTCATACAATCATAACCTTATTAAAACCCAATAAGAAATTGGACTTAAGTGTCACATAAAATTATTATTTGGAGAAATATGTCAACTATTTTTTATGTTAATAAATATGATCCAAACATAAATTCCAACAAAAATTCATTACTACAATATATGAGTTTGGCCACTCATAGTCAAATGAATGTTAGAACAAAAAATGCTGCTCAAACACTCTTCTAAGTGCCTTCTCAGTCTTGCATGGGCTCACAACTCACGTGATCCATTTATAATAAAGTTTCACTGTAATATATTTCCTTACCTTTTCTTTTTTTGGAGACATTGAGCCAATTAAAACAAACTTACACATACGTAAGACTTAAACACAAGACCTCTTAGTTGATAACCAAAACTCTCAACCGACAAATCAGGATAAGCTGCATCTCAATACCTTTTCATTTCCGCCTCTTCACTAACCTTATCTTCATAATTAATATTGATATATTTTTTATCATTTATATTAGAATGTCTTATCCTTCCCTTTGACCACTAAGAAGTAGGTTAAAAAATTGATTAAGGATTGTACCCCACGATCAATATTGGAACATCATTCATACTAATTCAAACAATATTTCGAACATGAAGTTTGAACATTACATATGAAACTAAATTCAAAATGTTATTGAAATAGAGATTCAAACTAAGTTCAAATCTTATTGGGTAAGGAACAAAGATTCATTCAACACTAAGGTACAAATTTTTATTTTGTCTTCTAAACCTTATTCGAATCAAATTTAAACTTGTTTTTCGAGCCATAACATTAGCACTAAAACAAAGGTTATAGGGCTGCCAAATTATGTTCAAATATAGGGTCGAACTAGATACAAAAGTCAACATACCAATGTTCCAACATAATTTTTTTCTCATACTAACTGCAATAGAAACGTACAAATATGATGATGATGGCGAAAGTCAGCATGCAATTTGAAGAAGGCCAAATTATGTCCTTCCAAATAAATCTTCATTCTTCCACATCTTCTATTCTTTAGGGTCCTAATCCATCAACTTCTCTTTTTCTTGGAAAATGTTGAAGATGAAAAAATAATAATCACTCATTGTTTTCAATATTAAAAATATAGAACACAAAGTTAAAAATATTTGAATGTACCTTGATCATCAGCCTGGGGGTATAACGAATTTTCAACTAACAAAAAAAAAAAAAAAAAAACAATTTTGAGAATTACATTAATGATACTAACTTCATATATTAAAAAATTATCATTTAGTGCACAATTAGGCTTAGTTTGGGATGACTTTTTCAATGCTTCTTAAAATAACTTTGTAGTATAAAAAATTTTATACTATAAATTTTGTACTATAAAGTTGTTTTAAGAAGCAAGAGAAGAGCCATCAAAAAAAAAAAACCTTAGGCTTTGTTTGAGACGACTTACTTTTTTTAATGTTTCTTAAAGCAACTTTTTAACCCACAAATTTAAATTTTTGTAAGCAGCAACAACAACAACAACAACATCAAGCCTTTATCCCACTACGTGAGGTAATTTTTGTATGAGAAAATTATTTTATGAAAGAGTAAAAAACCGTTCCAGAATGAATCGAGTTATTGTACTTCTAATCTTAATTTGAATTAACTATTAATGATAACTAACTTACAATGTCACATTAATTATTTTTTAATATTACTTCCCCTAAAAAAAATTTTATGTATTCCAACAGTAATCAAAATAAACTGCAACTGACATGAACATAAACAATACAAAACAAATGGGCACCAAAAATTATGGACTAATCCTATAAACTTAGGTTTCGTACTAGAAAAATTGTTTCATAAAACCGTCCCAAACAAAGTCTTAAGCCTCGTTTGGGACGGTTTTTTACTGCTTCTTAAAACAATTTTCTAGTACAAAAAATAAAAAAGTTGTTTTAAGAAGAAGTAAAAAAGCCGTCCTAAATGAAGCCTTATTCCAGGCCCTCACTATTTGTTTTGATCTCCCCAAGAAAAAATTTTGATTTTTTTTTATGCATTCCAACATTAATCAAATTAACCCTGCAACATAAAAGAACATAAACAACAAAAAACAGATATGTTCCCAAAAGTTGTGGCCTGGCTTGCTCATGCCTACTTATCTTCTATGATACCACCACAATAACTCTTGATTCATTCTGGTGATAATGCTATTAATGTAGCTAGGGCTGCAAGCAAAACAAACATTCAACGAGCTACTTGTTGTTCGGTTTATTTAAAGCTCGTTCGTGATCGTTTAATTAACTAAACAAACAAATTTGAACAATATTTTAAATACTCGATTCTTAAATAAACAAGCTTGAACACTAATGTGTTCGACTCATTTATGTTCTTGAACAACATCATTTGAAGTTCGTAAACAAGCTCGATTAGTATTCAATTTTGAACTTGAATATATGCACTAGCAAATATGATTCATGTTTAATATAATCGTTGACTTCTCTTTTAAAGGTATGTCTGAAAATTCACCAAAGCAGTTAGGATTGACAGTTCATGATATCCAAATTAGTGTTGGGTCATCTTCAAGTCCAACAATTTTAATAGAACATGTTAATGGACATCTAAAAGTAGAGCTCGTTTATAGCTCATTCATGTTTATTTGTTTAAAGCTCGATAAGCACTAAACTACGAACATGAACTGAACATGAACCGAACATGAACACTCATTATTTTAAATGAACCAAACATGAACACAAGCAATAAAGCTCGAACAAACATGAACCAAACTTGAACAACCTGATATTAAATGAACACAAACATGAACACTCACATACTCGACTCGGCTCGATTCGTTTGCAGCCCTAAATGTAGCCCTGCATACCAACATCCGTCAATAAAAAACCTATATAAAATCTCTAATCAAACTAGTACAAATAACAAACCAATTAAAACAATAAAGAGCTGAAGAACCACCTAAATTATATGGTTGTGCAACAAACCTGTGAGACAAATGAAGTAGAATTTTAAGGCAATTCCGATAACCCAGGAGAGATTGATGAGAAAATGAAGTGCTTTATCTTTAAAAATAATGGAAAAATTGCCTTATATATTACAATAAGGGCAATTTTTAAGAATAAGCAGGAGTAGAGCCGTAATTAACGGATTAAGCATAATTTTTTAAAAATTTAAAAGTAGGCAAAATCGCCGGTTTTTAATGGGCGATTTACTAAAGGTTAAAGTCGCCCGTATAACGGGGGACTTTGACCTGTTTAAAATTGGCAATCGAAGCCATAGTCCCCATCCTGACTCTCTGTTTGCCCTCTCCGATCTCGTCGACCGTCGCTCTTCACCGCCGGATTTCACTATTTTAGGTAAGTTTGTATGTATTTTTTTTGTTAAAAATTTATATTTATTTATTCCTTTTCAAAATAGAAGGTTGAATAAGGAAAGAAAAATGTATCGTGTTAAAGTGTAGAATGAAATGGTTTTAGGTGATGAGTTATGATTTTTAAAATTCCATTTAGGAAGCAGTAATTGTTTGCAAATATTAGTGGTGTGAGTAAATAAAATACATAACAACAACAAGCCTTTGTCCCACTATGTGGGGTTGGCTACATGAATCCTTTTTCGCCATTGTGTCCGGTAAAAAGTCTAGTTATGATTTTTTAGATGTTTGATATCAATTCAAAATACTCAATTTATGTTTATATTTATATAAATAAGCCCTTGATCGTGCATCGACTTTGTAAATTTATATGAGTTAAAAATTTTTTATATTTATTGTTGAATGCTTCCCATTTGTCTCAGAGTCATGTATATTGTGACTTATATTTTTTCATTTTATAGTACCCAAATTATTTATATAAACATATCTTTAACAAAAAAAAGGAATATTATTATTATTTTGAAGCTTCCACTTAGAAATTAATTGTAAAACATATGTAATATAAGTATTACAGTATTTTTATTAAGAAAAATATTGATAATTAAATCATTATTTATTTGTATTAATAATAAACCCTTATTTTTTAATAAATATCATATAATGAGATTTACATACATACCACATAATACTATTTTATTTACATATTTAACATCTAAAACTTTAATATTACATACATACCACTTATAGTTTATTTTCATATCAAATAGGAGTGGTAGAAATGAAATATATGAGTGGTAGGAAAGAAATATAAGTGGTATATTTGATATTAAAATAATATTGGGTGGTATGCATGTAATATTAAAATTTTAGGTGTTAGATATGTAAATAGGATATTATAAAGTGGTATGTATGTAAATTTCTCATATAAATAAAAAGAAAATAATTCCAAATTTTGTGTTAACTTTTTAAGGAATTATAAGAAATATTACTATTACAATTTATAACATTTACATTTAACAAGTTAATGATAATATTATCATAGTGAAATATTATTAATTAAAATTCTATTGGAACATAGTGTGAAATGATGTGAAGTTCACGATTGTATAGGTGAAATAAATTTATCGTTTAAAATTTAAATGTAGGTATTCAAAATGAGTGCACGACCACCATCTTTTATATTGTTATATGACGGAGAGTTATCATTAGATGGTAATTTTTCGCCACCATATATTGGTGGTCAATGTCGGCCCCTACAAGTTCCATTCAACTCAACTTTGAAGTAGTTAAAGGATGGAGTTGTCATGACCCTAAAGTTCGATCCCTCAAAGTTCGCGGTGACCATTGTGGGTTGTTTTCCAACAGGCAACCAATTCATGGTCTCGAAGCTTGAGGACGATGAAGGTTGTGAGTTTGCATTATCATTGACTGCTTTTGAAGTTTTGATTCTGTATGTAGAGGTTGAGGAAATTCATAATGATATTAATTTGGATGAAGAATTGTAAACTCAAATTCAATTGTACTAGATCGTGTACATGAGATGCATGATGCTGCAGAGATGACCTTGACAATCCCAAGTACACATCTAGGGTATCTTAGTTGTGAATGAAATAATTAATATTATATAAGTATAAATGAAGATCCACATTTTGAGTAACTCAAACACTAAATCAACAACTATACTCAATATGTCATTTATATAGCTGAGATTCAACAAACACTATCAGCCAAAAATCTCAAAAGAACTTGAATTGGCAAGATAATTTTAGAACTCATCTGATGTGATGTGTCATTGAAAGCTGAATGAATTATCATTGCAAAATGATTATGAAAATACCATGATATTATGCTTTTAAATATATTTAAAAAAAAGGGTTTCCCATATCTAAAATTAGTACATACAAATATTAAAAAAATATATCACCGGATTTGAATTTTTTTAAAAAAATTATCTATAAAAATGCACTACAAAAATTATACTGGGTTATTTTATCAATGCACAATTTATAATTTCCGAAGAACGGGCGAGTATGCCTAATCACCTAGTCGCCCGGAGCAATTATACCTACTTTTAAATTTAAAAAATGATACTTAATATCCTAATTATATTTCTAATCATGCTTAGTACTTCTAAATTAAAAAAAAAAACGATGCTTAATGCCCTTACAATAACTTATTAAGGCTAGAATGGCTATAAGAAAAAAAAAAACATAAAGAACTGAGGATAAAAAATGCTCCCAGATGTAAATGTCATACAAGAGCTTAGTAATCAACTCAACTTCCAATTGCTTTTTGTTCAATGGGAATTGTGTAGAAATCAACATGATAAAATAATCAACAAGATGTAGGCACTTCTTAGTACAAGAAAATCAATTTGACTTGCGATGAATTATGAAAGATCATTCATTTCCTAACCTTCAACAACAATGTCTATGCTTAATTTTGCCTTTTAAATTTCGAAACGGCAATTTTTTTTTTTTTTTGTTACTTGTATGTGCCACTTTAACATAAATGCTTTTCAGAGAATTGTATTTTCGTATTGTTTTTAACGTCAAAAAACTCCGTTATCTCAAACAACAATTTTAAAACTATCTTTTAAGAAACATACAAAATAACCAAACCAAGTCTACATTACTAACAGAAGCTGATGATGCGCAAACAAAAGCTTTCATTAGAACTGAGTCTACCAAGGAAATCCATTTCGTGGAAAGTCAACATTTAACTCCATCAGTTGCTTCATTACAGAAGAAAATTCTTTTACATGATACAGTCACTACATTCAAATGATTCATTAATACATCTCAACTAATCATCTGAACAATGCAGTCAGGTATCAGAAAAATGTTCCAGCTATGATAGCTTAGTTTCCATCATGTATGGGGCTTTTTACTAATGAAATCAAATTCAGCGAATAAAATCTACATATAGATGTACCTCAGCCAAGTGAAAGCAATACTTTGTTCATGAGTTATTTCCATCAAAAGCCTTCTGATATACTTAGTCTGCTTTCCAGATCCAGAAATACATTCAGCAATGATCAGAAAACGATGGTCTTCTCTGATTCAGCACCTACAGAATACGGCTAAGATTAAAGACTGAACGATCTAAAATATAAGCACAAAAATCGAGAAGCAACTTAAATAGGTGGTTACAACGACATTATTCTGTGCGGAGTCCGGAGGACGTCCAAAGACCAATAAAAATGTGCCAAGTCACCCCAAAAGTGTACCGCGCTATACCGAGGGGTACCGAGCATCGGTGCCAAGCGGTGCTGGACGGTTCTCCTGTCCGGTGTCCGCACAGAATAATCTCTCGGTTACAACAGCATACAAGAGCCGGTAACTAGGAGCTTTTCAATCCAGCTGCTCCAGGAAAATAAGAATATAATAGGAAAGACTTTGTTCGATAGCAATCAGTTAACGACTTAACGTAAGGGAAAGTGGTTCCAGTTTCATGCAGGACATTGCGCTTCAGGGAGCCAATCTTAGATATGTATAAAAAACTGAATCAAATAAAGCTGCACAATATTCATGAAAACATTTACTGATCCTAATATTTAAAAGCCCTTGCATCAAACGCTTCGGTAAAAATAAAACCACAACATCAAGCATCGAGTTGGTTTTAAAGAAAAAAAATCTCAAATAAGCTCTTGACTACCTAATATATCTTTGAAACTATAGGGAGTATTAGAGCCTAAATATTAAGGATTGCTCAGGTTGAGTAGCACTTGAAATACATTAAAGAAACAGCCATTATTTAATGTAAGTCACATCTAATGAGGTCGGTTGATTAGTTCTCAAAGAAATTCACTGGATTGAGGCTGACATCCTTAATGCCAAATAGTTTTCAGCAAGAAAAGAGACACTTTAAATATTAAAAAGGGGTCAAATAGCCTGAGCGATGTTATGTGTCAAGCATTCCTTAATTCATATGGCATATCTATGACCGCCACATTACACAATTTTAAATTTGAATTTAAATGCAGTGCCCGATACATTTACAACATATATTATATTTAAAGCTTTTCTCAAACCTTTTCAATTTAAATATGACACTAAAAAATATTAAATTTAAAAAGTTTAACTATTTCATTAAATACTCATTAATCGCATCATGCATGTTACCATTCTTGTATATGAATTCACATATTGCATTTAAACACTCAACTCTTAACTCATAGATGCAAGTTCATTTTATGACAAATTACATTAGTTATATTATTTTAACTTTAAATTTAAATTTGTTTAAATTTATATTTATTTACTCAAGCTTTAATCACCGTAACTCAGCTGGGGTTTTGACAATTTATATAATAATTTAACTACACCTCTATTGTTTTAGTCATCCTTAAAATGCAAGAATATGATCGCCGCATGGCACAATTGAATTTTAATATGCACTCCTACAGGTCAGTGATGTTGCTCTTAAGAAATAGTAGGTCAAGACTTCCCTGCCTGAAACCCTACTAGCTTAGCACCCCTTGAGACATAGAAATGCCCAAGTAATCATACTGCACCATTGACAAAAAATGAGCCTAGACAAGTCGATTGATTGTCGTGGAATTCAAGACTCCACCACGACATCCCTCTCTCCTCATTGGCTCCAACAATAAGGGAGTTCTAAATAAAATGATTTCTTATTCAATGAAAAAAATTTGGTAATGTACAAGAGGAAAGGACCTTAAATAGACCTCAAGCATCCAAAAGCAACAAAATTACAATTACAAAAATCCCTAGTAATAGACAAAAACCCTTTTTAACAAATGAAAATTATAAATATAACACTCCTCATATAACAGGATTGTGTGTGTCATGCACCTTAGGTTGGAGAAGAAGACTTGCCCTAGAAATCTAAAATAGTTTCCTGTTCATATTAGAGAGAAACATCCACTATATTGAAAGTTGTGGATAAGTTAAATCTCCTAACAAATCAATTTTTGGCACTCTCGCCATTACATTTTTGATGAATTCAAAAGAAACTTCAGTTTTTGGATCAAGCTTTTCAAAAGGACCCAATAGAAATAATTCCTTCCATAAATGAATCCAAACACAATGCCCTTAATGAAATTGTGGCACAAGCTTCATCAGCTTGTTGTTGATACTTCATATTTTTCTCATAATTGCTGACGGAACTTCTTGACATACCTATATTGAATTTTGCATAATTGGTCACAGAAATAAGCTATAATGGAGAAATGAAATTTTGTACAGACGCCACTTACAAAGGGTTTCGAGGCTTTTGGCCCATGGTTTTCTTAGTGACCCAACTACAAGCAAATTCATCCTAGGCTAAAACATATCACGGCTTGATATTCTTGACGACAAAACATCACAGCAAGTTTCCAATACTGCTATTAATAACTTCCATCTTCCAGTATATTTGGATGAACTGTCAAGCAAAATTGAAGATAGGTTCCCCCTTTTAACCATAACATCCTCCGAAAGTGACCCAAGAAACTAAAGTTTTGATCAAAGGTAATATATTTGGGAATGCCATGTATATGGATGATCTCACACAAAAAATAATAATAATAACAGCAATGTATAAAGCATTATGAATCTAGCGACGAGGAACAAAGAGCACTATAACGGAAATTAGGTCTACCACCATCATAATTGAATCTAGGGGTGTCAATATTTCACACGACCTGAAACCAGACTCGAACCCGATTCGAAAATTTCGGGTTATGATCAACTAGGACCCAAAACGAGTCGAATTCGAATTCAACAATTCAACCCGTTACAAAAATCGGGCCGGTTTCAGGTTAACCCTTTGACACAAAAGTGACCCGAGATTGACCTATTTTTGACCCGGAAACCCGAGATTGACCCGTTTTCGGCCCATTTTGACCGAAAAGCACTTGTTTTTTTACCCAAAAAAGTAGCAATTTTTTCACGGTCCCGGGTCATTAGGGTCGTGTCAGGTTGACCCGGACCAGAAGCGGGTCGGATTCAGGTTTGAAAAACTGACCCGCTTGCAAAAACAGGTCAGGTTTAGGTTGACCCGAATAGTGTTGGGTCAATTTTGAGTTCGAACTGAACCCAACTAGTGACCCGAAATTGACACCCCTAATTGAATCCTTATGTTTGTGTGTGTTTGGAAGGCCTACAACAAATTCATAATTATATCCATACGTGACGACCCAAGAACCAGCAGTGGTGTGTAGGACCTAGTTATTCGGCTTCTTGATTTGGTGATATGAAAAATAAGGCATCAATAAGTCAGTAAACAACCATCCGTGAAGAAGGCCAACCAAAGTTTTATTGTACCATGGTTGTTGCCTTGTCACACCCAAAATGATCTATAAGACCTACACGACATTTAAGCAAGAATACATATTGTAACAAACATCAAGGAATGCATAACCTATTTCCAAAAAAAAAAATATCCATCTTGAAGTTAAAAAATGCAGAAAAGTGCCTTCCGTGCATTGCTACAATTTCTTGCAAAAATATCCATCTTTGGGATGGAGTTTCATGTATTAGCTTGAAACCAACCACTTTTGATAGTAGTCCACTTAGAACAGTATACCTGTGGCTACGAGAGTCCATGACTCGGTTCTGGAAACCTAATTTATGCTTCAAGATGTAAGGAAATGATGAAAACAATTTGGCCCACTAGACAAATCAACCTTTAAGCTTGCTTTGGTTGTGCATGTACTTGAGGGCTTCATGATCAGAAAGGAAAATGAATTATTTAGATAGAATATAGTGATTCCAATGTTTCAAGGCTCAAACTATAAGTGTATGATGTTCTTCCACTAATCTTAAAGGTCATCTCAATTTGATGGTACTCACTACACAAATCAATATTGTAAAAGTATGTCACCTCATGATGTTGCTAAAAAAGATCAAACGACATTGGTATCGAAAAGCAATATTTGGCAGTGCTCACATTCACAACCAAGCTATCAATGAACATTTGCCACGCACCATCTTTCTTTGGAAACCATAAGGCAGGAACAACATAAGAAATAACACACGCTCTCATATCAATCCTTCAGTGATGAACTCATCTATTTGTTGTTCCAATTCTTAACACGCCTTAAGTCATATTCGTGCGCTTACCGCCACAATTCTTCATACACATAAGATCATATTAGATACACAAGTCAGTGGGGGATGACAATCTCCGGAATGAAGTTTAATGCATATCGTACATCACCTATAGGTGGTAAACCTATGAAATTTTAGTGAGCATTGCATTCGGATATTGTTGCAATAGCAATTGAACCTCCTCTGCCACTTGGAACTTATCTTTATTTTTTTTCAAGAATCACCAAGGCATAAAGGCATCTGAACCTTGCATCACTCTCATGATCATAAATTTGGACATCACGATGTCCTTGGATCGTTTTTAGCTTCTTTATTTAGTTGTATAAGTACCACCCACACCATATATTTTAAAATAGACGCAAATATTGATTTTTTTTTACTAAGCCCGGTCTTAATTTATATACAAACACAAAAAATGATATTTAGCAAAAATGAGAACATATATCTAACAACATAAAAAAATAGAGATGTTTAGAGATCCAATACTAAATGAACAGAGGAAATGGGAACATTAGGATTTATTTTTCATTAAAGAAAGAAAGCTCCCAAAATGGAACAGCCATGCGTAGAGAAGTATATAAGCAAATCAAAACAAGGACGGACCATGTAATGCAGGAACACAAACATAAAAAAAAAAAAGTCATCCAATTACGTCAAGGAGAATTGGAAAAGCATACATCGTACTGGTTTATTATGGCAAATGAAAAATAACTGAAACAAAATTAAGCAACATAGTCAGGCAAATGTGAAGCAAAAATAGCTCACTAACATTTGCAAGATATACAGGCTAATCATGAAATGCAGCAAATCAAAAGCAAAAGATTAAATACCCAAAATCAATAGGATGAAGAGGCCTCCATCAACATTATTTTTGAAACAACATTTCAGGTTTGCAACCTACAAAGCTATTTACCTGGATTTTAAGGCCTATTTATAGATAATTATCTACTCTTTCATCGCCGACCATGAGCCCGTTGCCCATCATAAGAAGTCCAGGAGCCATGCCCAGGCCCAGATGCTGCTCCATATTGAGCTCCAGCATCTGCACCTCCAGGAACCTAAAGTGCAAAAAATAATAATAAAAATAATTCACTAAAAAATAAATTTCCTCCAAATTTAAAAGGTAAAGCATACGTACAGGATTAATGCCATAACTAGATGGGTAAGGGTTTCCACCATAACTGGGATCAGGATTCCCATAGTTTCCAGCGTAGCCTGCAGCAGCAGAAACCAAAATTAGTTTCCAAATTTTCAACTAAAAATGGTTACATGTTATTTAAGCGACTGCAGCAGAGGAAGGAATACAAGGCCTTAAAAATTAGCAGGCAATTCCAAAATTAAATCATTAAATTGAAGAACGAACATAATTAACATGCTTAACAAGTTCAAATAGAAAACCACAGTAAAAAAAAAAAAAACTACAGTGACATCTTGCAAAATAACACAGCACAAGGTGCATATATTTTGTTGTAAAAGACTAAAAGCTATTGGACGTTAGGTTCAAAATGCCTAGACTAGTTGTCCTACAACATCATTCTCTTCTATTGCAAAGATAAAGGCCTAAAGCACTTCGCAATTGGTGAGAACCCGATTACTTTGTAGTTTGTAGTCTTGGGAGCTATTTGTTTGTTAGGCCAAGAGTTTTCCTTTTGTATCCCTTATTGAAGATACTAAGGTTATCTTATCCTCCATGCATGCTAGAAGTGACTTCATATTTCCACTTTCCTTCCCGTAGATGAAGGGACGCATCCATATCTATCACAAAAATAACAGCATTGCTATGGAGTTATCCAGTAGGAAAGGGAGCTAGTTCTGCTTCATCATCCACACCTTTTTCATTTGACATGAGTTAATTCCAGGGAGTAGAGTGATGGGGATGAGGGAAATTTGGCAATTAGAGCTAGTTCATTGTACACTTAGATGAGATTTTGTATGCTCCATAGATAATTATGATGCGACAGATGTAGTCTTTTGATGCGCATTGGTCATGAATAATGGTTGATTGGTACATTTAAGTTGTTCCATTTCCCCCATTTGTTCATGCTCACAATAAAAGCACTATTTAACCTTTTGAGCTGTTTGCACGGCAAAAAGTTGTTAACCAAAAGTATACTACAAGGTTGTCCTCGAAGCATGACGAGGACAAAGCACAAGGTAATTTTCAATATCCCAACGATATTTTGGTATGTGATATGCACACAGGACGAGGAAATTTCTCCTATAGTCCTTGACATGGCGACTAAGAGCAGCTTTCTTCAATCTGCAGCAGCCACATTTAATCTCGGAAGAACGTTAAAGTTCAGCCTTCAATTTCACAATATTCCCACCAGGATAATGTGCTCCATGAGCTTGTTCCGTGCATTTACGATGCATATGTAGGACATCAAGTTGTGAGGTTAGATCTCCATATCTTCATTTAAATAGTGCAGCATTTCACCAAAAGCCTTAGTATTTCTAAAGAGATGATAGAATGAGACATTTTCTTCAACTGCTCATTCTTTGATTTTATAGAATCATTCGACTTTGCATGCTTAGTGCCACAGTTAGGGCCTTCTGCTGGTAACACATTAGTGGACCTTCTCTTTACACCAAGTTGCTCTTCTTTATCCCAGTTCACTATCAGCACCTCTAAGGTTATCAATTGGAGTGTTAAGTTGTTCTTGATCAACAAAACCTTCAACTCTAGTGTAAAATGAGTGCGCTTCCTCTTAGCATAGTCGTTAACTATAAGGTTTTTCTACAGCGGCTAGTAGGCTCTTACAGTTGGTGTAATTTTCTTGTATTTGCTCCAATTTTTAGTCATTGCTTGCGAATAGTACGTTGCTTGCATACCGATGTTCACAGGGGACCCAGCATCCCTGCAACATATCTACTATTATCACTGCTTGTTGGTGCTTGTATCTAGTACAACCTTTATGTATTTTCCTGTGAATAACACACATCACATATGGAGAGACTCCTATAGTGGCTCGTAGGTGTTTGTATATGCTACAAATCACCCGTCTTTGCTTAAAATGTGCAGGTGTATTTGCTAGAAGCTTGTTAATGTTGACTACATGAACAACCTGGCCTTTGTTGTATGCTGCATATACATGCCTGCATATGGCCTTATCATTGTACGCAGGTTTTGTATGTTTGTTACCATGCTGATGTAGTCTACTAGTTGAGCTACATTCATCACTGATTTCCTGTGCATGTTGGCTGGCAAGTTGCCTTCAATACAAATTTGTATCTCCTGCTCACAGCGTACTACTGATGTGAATGTAGTACATTGATCATTTGATCTTTGCTTGCGAGGCAATGTATTTGTCTATCGTTGAATGACTGTTCACTATCGAGCATTGTTGTATTCACTTCTTGTTGTTGGCTATCATGTTGTACATACGGAAGAGCTTTCGTCATTGCCAATAAGAGTTCACACTCGCTGCATACTGCATTGTGTATGTTTGCAAGGTGCTCTGTTCTTGTTTGCACATGAAACGTCACATCTTAAATCCCTCACTCGTATATCCACTGTAATCTCCTAAGATAAGTTTGTAGGGAACTTATCGCACCTGCATTATGTTCACTATCATCATCTATAGAGGGCTTAGTGTGCTTATTTGCAGTAACATTAGTTGCATACAAGACATTGATGTTGACTACAATGCATGGCTATATTCACTACTTGTGGCTCTTGTGTGAGTTGTATGCATGATAGGTCTTCTATCATTGTTTGCAAATGTCATCACTACAATCTACAAGCCGGTTATTGCTTGCATAACAAGTCCTTTACTATTGCATATAGGAAGTGTTCATGCATCTTGCCATCAACTGATGTTATTTGAATACTTTTCACGAGTCCCCTGCATGTTTATTAACTTGCATTTGAATAATTTGAATTGTCGTTCACTTGCATCTTCGATTTTTACTATGAATTTTTTAATTTTAAGGTCCAGTTATTAATGTTTTGTTCCATGTTTTATTCAATTCAAGTTGTGTTCTTTGTCACTTAGCTTGAATAGGTCCCTGCTGTTTATTTAATTTTTTGTACCTTCGGTCTAAATTTCGGTTGCACCCCGACATTTCCCCCATTTTGGAGAAATTTAGGGAGTCTTAACATTCCTGTCTTGTGAAGAAAGATGTGTACGGTCAGTGTCGGGTGACAGTGTGACACCCACTACAACAAAAATGCTCTGTTACGGCAGACAAAATCAGCCAATAACACTGGAAATTCGCTGAAATTTCCCTTTTTCTGGCTAATTTCCAACGAAAAATGCTTCGATTCACGGTTGAACCGGTCGGACCGGCCGGTCCGGTCCGGTTTTTAAACCATTGATAGTAATTCGTGCGTCGAAAAATCTAAACCGACGAAAAATCTCCACTGGAAACGTTTCGGCGGCGTTTTCGGTAGAATTCAGGCGCAAAAATATGGTAAATCAGTGTCTTTTACTCTTTTCCATTAATGTATTTCGGCATTTTCTCCGCCTGTAGTTTCGACGGAAACTGTACGCCGAAAATATCAGCATATAATCCGCCGCCATAGTCTGACGTACTGTTACCTGCGGATATTACCAGCAGACTAGCCGCCAAAAGTTTCGGCGTACATTTACGTTGGAAACGTCACTTTATTTTCGTTGTATCATGTTCCGACGGATTTTCCGACGGAAATTCCACCGGAAACCTGTAGCATCCACACAAAAAAAAAACATCTTATCTTTTGAAACTGATTTCTACAATACAGCCTGCAAAGAAAAAATGCAATACTATATAAATTCAAACACCCACCTCTAATCAAGAGCATCACCAAATATTGAATATAAACATATACACAATAATAAAAACAAGAAGAATATCATCAACAAATGTCAATAATAAATAAGTGCAAATGTCTAAAAAATAAATAAGTAAACATGTCCAAAAATATATAATTACAGATGTCTACATCATTAAAATAAACAATATCTACTCTGATTCAGTTTCCTCCTCTGCTGATAATATATTCTTCCCACTGAACTGCACCCTCATCTTTCGCATTTCTTCTAACAATTGAGTTTGTTGCATCTGCATTTGCTTCTGCATCTGTCAGTCAACTTGTATTTTCCTGACCTGCTCTAGCTCGGCTGTAAGGGCAGCTACATGTTGGTTATATAAAGACTCCTGGGTATTTGCTGAGAAGCTGAAGCCACCAGATGTCTGCCCCTCGTATGCATAGGCTTGCGAGCCTTAAATGTTTACTTTGTCATGCTGCATTCCTCCTACCGCATAGGCTTGTAACATTTATTGAACGAAAATAGATGAATTTTTAATTTCAAATAAGTCCCCTATCAATGAAAAATCTGACAGCCTCCATTTAGGGAACATACAAAGAGTCTTAGCCTGCTCAGAAGGCCGTCATTTTATGTGATCAAACCATCCAAAGCGACACTCTCTAATCTTATCTTCCAGTGGAGCTACTCCAACCTTCTTACATATATGCTATTTTTGTATCCTGTCTATAAGGGTACATCCTCATCTCTATAACACTTAAATTAATATTATGCTTAGTTTGAGGGGGGCTTTTCTATCACACAACAATGCCCAATGCATTCCTCTACTTCCACCATCCAACTTGAATTCTACAAATAATATCTCCATCTATTTCACCATAAATAGATTAAAGATGTTAAAAAATATGTACTTTTATTAATGACTTCATCGCCAAAGTCACAATCCCTCAACTAGGTCTATTACTACTAAAAATACATTCCATATATTAAGTTTTAAATCTAATTATGCGAAAACCTTTAATCTCTAAGGTTGATCTACAAAATTCAAGTTTACCTTCAACTCCCTCTCTACTATTATCAACAAGAAGAATATCATTAACAAAAAGCATACACCAAGATACATTCTCTTGCAAATGTCTAGTAAGAATATCCATAACTAGAGCAAAAAAGCATACACCAAAATACATTCTCTTACAAATGTCTAGTGGGAACATCTATAACTAAAGCCAAGAGCATACACCAAGATACATTCTCTTGCAAATGTCTAGTGAGAACATCTATAACAAAAACAAATTAAAAGCATACACCAAGATACATTTTCTTACAAATGTCTAGTGAGAACATCCATAATAAAAGCAAAATCATACACCAAGGTTCATTCTCTTGAAAATTTCTAGTGAGAACATTCATAACAAAACCAAAAAGTATACCGAGATACATTCTCTTGCAAAAGTCTAGTGATAACAT